ACACACACACACACACACAGACCCGCAGCCCTGTGTGTGCACACATTGAAGAAATATTTGCAGTGATGCTGCGGAAGCCTCGCCCAGCAGCAGCGTCAGAGCCATGGGGACCCCACGGCAGGGCCCTGCAGTGGGGACACGTGAGTTCAAGCTCGGGGCCTGGGTGAGCAGGCAGGGCACCTGGGGCGGGAGCAGCAGCCCCCAGATGTGGGGTGGTCTGGGAGGTGGGTCCTCCACCCAGCCTGGCCGGGCTCTCTGCTGAATGAAGCTGGTGGTGGGAGGTGCACAGGGCACCCAGGGAAGGCCAGGAGCCCGGCCAGGTGTGGCCGAGCAGAGAACCTCTGTCAACACCTCGACACACGCCACCAGCACAAGGGCCCGCGTGTGCCTGGCCCAGATGACGCGCACCACACAGCCCTCGTGGCACAGCCCCTCCACGTGGCATGTCCTCAAGCAACACCCAGGCCCTGGCCCATCCAGCCCTGCCCCCAGCAGGCCTCCACACAGTGGGTTTGCGCGAGCTAAGAGTGACCAGGACACTCTTCAACCATGCAAAGAAGGGAATCCTGACACCAGAGTGACGGCTCCGCGACCCACCCGTCCAGCCTCGCCTCCGTGCCTCGTGGTGAAGGCAGGGGCAGCAGGGGCTTGACGGGACTCAGGCAGCTGTGGGGGGTCGGGGTGGCCCCCACACCAGGAGGAGGCCCTGCACTGGGAGTTGGCTGGGCTTCAGATGCAGAACTTCGTGAGCTTGAGGCAGGCAGGGGACGTGTGGATCAGAACAGAACAACCCCGCTGATGGGTGGACTGGGCGGAGCGCGGCTCCTCCAGGCCAGAGTGCTGACGGAGGCTGACCTCAGACTGGGACCCGCAGTGAACTCCCAGTCCAAACAACATGCACGTCCCAGCCAGCTGCCCCCTCTGCAGGAGCCCAGGCCAAGAGGAGGCGACGCTCAGCATATGTGGGAAATGCAAAAGTCCACTCTGGAAGCTGTGCGTCCAGGGGCCACGCAGCGGAGGGCGGGAGCCACCCAGGCCACAGAGCTTGCCTCAGGACAGGGAAGGCCACCAGTGTTCACCAGGGACACGTCCGACTCCAGAAATGAGTGAATGAACAAAAAGCTAAACCAGGAACCAGAGCGGTGACAAGAACCCGAGAAGAGACAGATGAAGGGAGATTGAGTGTCAGTGGGGGAGAGCCACCAAGGCAAAAGTGGTCCTGGGGAGGACGGGTCGGGGGCCCAGCACTCGACATGGTGACAAGATGGGGAGGAGACATGGGCATCAGGAAAGAGCCAGCCGGTGACAGAGAGCAGAGCCAGCCGCGGGCTGGAGGAAAAGACGGGACAGCCACCCAGGGGCAGTCCCCAGAAAGACGGGAGCTCAGGATGGGTGGGATCAAGGGGGAGCTCTGGGAAGAGATTTGTTCTCCAGACAGCAAACTCAAGGCCAGTCGCTTCCCGGAAAGCACACGGGCTTTCAAAACTCTGAACAAGGGCGCTCTCAACACAGGACCCGCGCGCTGTAGCCACCGTGTGCACAACACGTAGAGTTTCCAGGCTGCAGAACGGGGTGAAAATCGAGGGCTGGTGTGGAGGCAGAAGCCGAGGCCTCCGGGCACATGGCCCTGTTCTGCCCGTGCACCACAAACGAGTTTAAACACACGCATCCATGAAGAAAACTCTCAGGCAGGCCAGCATGGATGTGGAGGCCCAGCCCCTCGGTGAGCCTGGTCCTCTCTAGTAGGGCCTAGAAGTTTCCCTGGTTAGCGAGAGTGAGGCAGGCAGGCGGTCCCAGCTCCGTGGCTCAGGCCTGGCGTTCCAGCCCAAGCTTGAGACGAGCCAAGGGAGGATTTTTCAAAAAGATCTGCTAAACCAGAAAAAGAACCATCATTTTCCACAACAGCATGATACTGACAAGGGCCCAAGGGAACCAGGGAGCTGAATTGTCAGAGTTGAACAGAGCCTAGAGAGGCTCCTGTGGGCGAGAGACGGACGGCTGAACCCCTCTCGTGTGTCTAAGAGGCTACTCCCCACGGGTAACGAGAATAAATCTGATGAAAGACAACAAGGGGGTACAGAGGGAAGCCGTAGGGGAAACTGCATCTGAGACGTCCCTAGGTCCCAGGAAGTGCTCAAGAACTTTGGTGACTGCTCACAGCCCCTTTGGAAGGCTTCACCCAGAGACCCCATGGCAGGGTCTTCAGTGGGGACACCTGTGATCAAGCGTAGGTCCCAGGTGAGCAGGCGGAGCCACCTGGGGCAGGAGGAGCAGCAGCCCCACCAGGTGCGGGGTGCTCAGGGGAAGGGGGTCTTGCCACCTGCCTGGAAGGCCCTTTGCTAAAGCTATTCCTAGGAGGAGGTGCATGGGGGCCCAGGAGAAGGCCAGGAGCCCAGCTCAGGTGTGGCCTTGAAGAGAACCTCTGTCAGAAGAACCAGTGCTCAGCGCTGTGGAGAAGAGGGCTCGTGGGAGGGCGGCCAGCTGAGCGGGACAGGCGCAGGGTGGCCAGCAGGGCAGGGGAGGCGGAGGCAAGCCACCCGCCGAGGCGCAGCCCAGACACCCAGTGGACCCAGAGGGAGCTTCAGGCAGGGCACGAGGAGCTGCCTCTGCAGAACACGGTCTTACCTGGAGATGGAGTGACAGCGTTCGAAAAGCACCCTCTGCTACCTCCAACGTGGCAGCCACCTGGAAGGAGGTGACGCAGGCCAGCCTATCAGACTTCAGGAGCCACCCGCTGACTAGGTGGGTTGAGTGTGTGCCTCAAGAACGGAGGCACCTGGTGGCAGCCCCTGTGGGTCCAGGCACCCCCCTGCAGGCAGGTTAGCACCCTGTGCCTTCCGGGAAGTGGAGGGGACACTTCCTCCCCAGGTGGCATTCTCACAAGACCATCTAACCCCCTCCAACCACCTCCAACCCGAGTGTGTGACCCTCTCGAGACCACTGTCCTATACCGCCTAAAACTGTCACTGGCCCAAAAGAAAACAAAATTAGTGGATTGTTCTAGATTGAGACCTAAGGGACGAGAGCTTGACCGCACACCAGGTCAGAACCCAGGGGGGGCTCTTGCATTGAGAGACTCTTGTCCTTGGGGCCGGGGCAGGAGGCCCTGGTCCCCAGAAGTGCACCTGGGGCCCAGGGGTTCAGGGAGGTGGCTGCGTTGAGGAAGCCAAAGCAACCCCCAAAACCACTGGCCCTGGAGCTCGGGCGCTCGGCACGGCTGGACAGAAGGCTCACAGACGCGCCTGCATAGCTGCAGAGGTGCACCCCTCGTCCACAGATCCTCTGCTGGGTACAGAGTGCTGCTGATCATGGCCCCAGATTAGAAACATCTGGGCATCCATCAAGGGGAGCAGGGCAGGTAGACTGTGGCGGGCTCACACATGGACTCTCCACCACCCAGGCAACTGGCCGCAGCTGCAAGCGAGCCCCGTGGCAAAGCCCAGAAGACCCAGGCTGGGGCTGGGAGAGGGCAAGAACCACGCTGCGGTGCGCCATCACCCACACACCGCCGGGAGACATTTCTATACCTAAAAAGTGGACCACATGTGCCTGGGTTTACAGAACACAGCATTCAGACGAAGGGTCACCTCCAGCCCGGGGCAGGGGGCCCTCTGGCAAAGGGCCACCCCGGGCAGGGACAGACTGCTGTGTTTCTCATATGCCAGAGGTGGGTGGGGTGGCGGGCCTTCCTGTTGTTATTTATACCTTCTGGTATCTCTCGCACAGTCCCGACTGTTAACCATGGCGGAAGGGCCTTGCTAAAAGTCAATCTGTATTTCTGAAAGCAGAACAAAACAAAAGGCCCACAAGCTATAGAGAACTATAAATAAGTGCTTCCTCTATCTCTCCTGGCTGCACATTCCAGGCAGGGCAGGAACCGCGCGAGGAGGCCTGGTTTTCCCATCACATCTCGGCCCTGTCTGGAAATGGAAGACAATGCAAGAGATGTGGAGCGGAAATAAGATGTATAACTTGTGGAGGGGGGAGACCAAAATACCACATTCCACAGCCGAGCCGA